ACCCTATAATAGGAAGTGCATGAACAATGACCTTCATGCCAGTAACATAAGGAATACTTTTAAAGCTTGTCCCCACCAGCAGTCATGCTCAACTTTGTCAATGTGCTCAATCGAGCCGCATCACGCTGTTTCTTTTTTTTTTTTTTAGAACTTTATTGAAATGTCATGCCATCCTGGAACACAGCGGTGTGAACTGTCACTACCTATGACAAATTGCCTTGTCCTGCATTCGGCAGATGGTGGGAAACGAGCCCTTAATGAAAGCCGCAGATTTAAAAAGATGGAAAACAACTTTGGAAATTACTATGAGATGGTAAAGTTGAGGATTAAGTCTAAGTTAATGTGCTTACAGATTGCCGAGCCCACGCGCCTTGCCTGGGCCATCTGAAAATAGAGGACGCAGACACAACGTCTAACATTTTTACCAACCTGCGTCCTTTTAAAGAGGTCTGACTGCTACAGGTGAATATCAGCTCTATACTTACCATGTTATATCCTATAATTTCACCCTCCGTGTTCTTGAAGGCCTTCGCCTTTATAGGAGACGCATTCTGCATTAAATCCTCTTTGCGACATTATTTCAAGCCCCCTCTGACGCTGTCATTTCAAGCCGTCAAGAGACGCCGAGCACAAAGGAAGAATTGGTGGTAATTCGGTAATAGGCACAAATTTGTGCTAAGCACCTTAATTGCTGGGCAGCTCTAGACACGGCAATGTCACTTTTCACGGATTACTGTGATACGCCAACAGTCTAAAGCTCGCCATCCAAGTAAAATAATTCTTTGGGAGCTAAATCATAATGCAGACAAGAGCTGCGATTCTGGATCATTACGGCTACACAATCCATATTCCTCAATTAACAGAACCATAGGTTAGGTGAAAGAACGATCCGGGCCCGGAGGTATTAATCTGAAAGACATGCTTTAAATGATAGATTTTCACTCAGTAATCGCATCTAGTGAAATGTAGAAGACGGCAAGGCAGAATGGATGCGTTGTGGTAATGTACACGTCTTGTGGTGCAGTGTATGGCATTGGAGCTGTGCGGCCTTAAAGCGGACCTTTAAATCCAAAAAACAACTGATGATTAACAATAACATAAACATGTCAGGTGTAAAATGCCATGATTATGAAATGCTTACACTTGCAGAGCATTCACTTTAGGGCTGCAGCTAACGATTATTTTCATAATCGATTAGTTAACCGATTATGTTTTCAACGAATCGATTGGTTGTATGAAAAAAAAAAAAATATCTCTCTCTCCTCTTCCCCCCACTCTCTCTCCCCTTAGTCGATTAGTTGTTCCAGCTCTAATTGACTTCCTGCTTTGAAAGGGCAAAACAACTTCAGTTTGCCACAACAATGTACACTGGGATTGCGTTGTAATCAGCAGAGCATTGCTGGGAAATCTCATGAGATCGCAGGGAAAGGCATTTTTCTCCCCTGAGATGATGTGCATGGTCACGTGCCAAAAATCCAGGAAGTAAATGGAGAGCCTTAAAAATACCTTTTCTTTCAGTTGAAATACCACTTTCTGCCCTACCCAAGCAGTCCTCTGTACTTGCAGAGCTAAGTAACAGCCACATCTCTCAGCACAACACCCATACAGACTTGCATTGCAGATGGGGATGTACCGATACCAGTTTTTCGGTATCGAGTACCGATATTTATATTTTGGTACTCATGGCTTCCTGATTGGCTGGGATGCTGATTGGCTTGGAAACCGGCTTCCCGCCAAATCAACATCGAGACGCCCAAAGAGCATGAAGCCAGCTTCCCGGTCAGGCAGTGAGTCATTACCCGCCACCCGGCTTCCTGATTGGCCAGGAAGCCAGCTCCATGTTCCCTCGCGGCACTGCCGGTCAGAGGAAGTCAGGTGGGGGTCATGTCGCCATATTATCAGATTTGTTTGCCCGGCTCGACACTGATTGGCCAATCAGCATGGATCCAGCTTCCCGGCTCCATGTTCCCTCGCGGCACTGCCGGTCAGAGGAAGTCTCCCTCTCACCGGAAGTTCTGCTATCAGGAAAGGTATCGGAGCATTTGGGGGAGTACGAGTACTCATCCAAATACTCGGTATTGGTGCATCCCTAATTGCAGACAAGGTGAAGACGTCATGTCTAAGCTGATAGAACTCTCTGTTTTTATGATACTACAAAGCAACTCTCCCTTTCCTTCTCTCAATAACATATGGGGAAGGTGTTCTGTGGTCCAACAGGAAAGAAATGGGCAGGGCTGGCAACACTGGTTGTGATTTTAGGGGAGCAGAGGCCCTGGGTTGTCTGCTCAACAAAGTTCAATGGATTTCTGGCAGACCAACCTGTATTTTTCCGTACTTGCAGCATTTGCGAATAGATAAAACACATGAACATATGCAGGTATTAGAGAAATATACTCAACACATTTTCTTTTTGTTATTTCCAGACATTCACTTTAATGCTGTGCGAGGTCTGCCTTGCAACCGAATCATGGAAATGATAGATTGTGAGGAAGAGATTATCAAGTGCGGTCAGTTTTATGGCTTTAAAATGTGTCCCCGCAATTTCCCAATAATAACCGCAACACAAAGAGCCACAGGCTGAGACATGTGACCGTGCTTCATTTTTATCTGGTGTCTGCAAGAAAGACGATCTCCCCTAACGAACGCCGACTTTTCAGCGAATCATTAAACAGGCTCGATCAATAGCTGCATCCCGATGTGCGAGTCGCCGTCCTCTGCGCAATCACGCTAGTTATAGGACAAGAAAGAGAGCGGAGGAATATATATAGCGAGATAAAAGAAAAGGGATCTGAGAAGACCACAAGTTCACAATGCAGCGAATCATAAATATGTGTTGCATCTCGCCACAAGGGACATGGGAAATATTCCATACAGGAACAGAAGCTTCTATTACTGAACGCACTTTAAATATTCGATACAAAGAATAGAAGCATTTTTTACAGAACTAAAGGCATTGATATAGTTCAGTGATAGCAAACAGATCTGGAAATAGAAACTGGTATGTCAGAGGTCCCTGGCTGTCCTTGGTAACTGCTTAGCTGCTTGCAGATACAAAGTGCTGCTTTTTCTGACTCCCTTGAATCCTTTAGGGCTCATTCACATCAAAATCTTAAGGAAGTCGCAAGTCAACAGAAGGTCTGTTGTGAATGGGGCTAGTTTACACCAGTTCTGTTACGCTATGTTGTGCTGAAAAAAAAGTAGTGTACGTTCTATTTTGTACTTTCAGCAAAACGGAAGGGAACAGAGCGGTGTGAACTAGCCCTATTCACACGCATTCATTTTTCGGTGCCCCTCCATTAGCATCTGTTGAAAAGTTATTGCAACGCATGGGCCTAAGGGCCATACACACTGGATCCATTGTATTGCAATTAAATAATTGAAGAAGGGTGTCGACTTTTGTTCCCCATGGCCCCTGTGTGTGTTGTACAGTAGCTACCTCTCCAAGCTCGCCCCTGTGATGGACTACAATCTCATGTTTAGTTTACCAATTTGTAGGGATGCACCGATATATCGGCCGCCGAAACATATTGGCCAAAAATGCCACTTTTGGCAAAATACCGAAAGTGCAATTTTTTGGCTGATATAGTGGCACGTCTCTCCTTTCTCTCCTCCCCGCTGGGAGCTGCTCTCTTCCCAGCGGGGAGCAGAGAAACTGTCACAGGTGCTGTGAGCCGTCGTCATCTCTCCTCCCCACACTGCTCAGCCTTCTGTCACAGATGGGCAGAGCGGTGTGGGCGGAGACAGCTTGCAATGCTGTCACAGGAGGCTGAACTCCGCTCACTCAGCCTCCTGTGACAGCTTTCAGGAAGGAGAGCGGGTACAAGCAGTCGGTGATCAGTGATCGCTGAGTGTTTGTAAATAATTGAGGACAGAGTATGTTTACTATATCCTCAATTATGAATGAATGGGAAGCGATCTATATCTCCTCCTGTCCATTCATGATTGTGGTTATAGTAACCATACTCTGTCCTCATGTTATGAATGGACAGGAGCACTCAGTATAGAGGATTCCTGTTCATTTATAACAGGGGATGCAGAAAAAGGGATGGAGGACTCTGTGTCTCTGAGTCCTCCATCTCTTTATCTATTTTAAAAAGGTAAATATCAGGGGTCTGTTTAGATCCCTAATATTTCCCCGAAGCCCCTAAAAGTAAAGTAAAAATATTTAATAAAAATACATTAATAAAAATATAATATAAAAAATAAAACATTTCTAAATATATATATATATATATATATAAATAAAATATTTTTTTTAAAATTGAAAAAGAATAAAAAACATTTTCAGTACCGACCTGACATTTTTTTTAAATTTCCGTTTTGACATTTTCATTTTGGTCTACCAATTTGTATGGAGATTGTAGTGCATCCCGGGAGTGAGCTTGGAGCGGTGGCTACTTAACAACACACACAGGAACCATGGGGAACAGAAGTAGCCACCCTCCAGAAGGAAGGACAGTGTCAGCACCAATTCAGAGATGATTTGAGTATCTACAGCCGAGTGATACACAAATTAGATACATTTCTGTTAATAGTTAAGGTACTTGAATTCATTTTTAAGATTTAACTCCGGAGCTTGGTGTCACTTTAAAATAAATGATATTTGGAGAAGATCTCTGTCCACGTGCCGCTGTTTTAGCATCATGTGCTGTGTGGCAGAGCTGTGTTAATCTCAGGACATGACCGACTTACATACAAAACATTTGGCAGGTAATAATGCTTCCATATATGTACTTCATCTGTGTATTCAGCTGTTTGTCCGGAGTTCGGCTTTAACTTCACCCAGCAATAGATCTCTTCTTTCCGGCATGCCAAAGCAAAACAGGTCTCAGTAAGGAAAACACATTTTTTTAACTTCTGCCAATAGGCATGGTGCAGTGTAGGGGGCATGCAGAGGCACGCGATTTTCAAGAGAGTGTTCAGTCCTTGACAACATCTTAGCTGATCTATATGCACTTGCTGTGAACCTAATTCCTTTAAGACAAGTTGGCATCGCTTACCTGTAAGCCAGAGCCAAGGCCCAGGCGCTGGCAGCGCAGTACAGGCTGTCGTGGATCTTGGCATTCTTGCAGTCGCCCACAGTGTTGATGGGGAAAAGGCCGGTTGTCGGGCTTTGGAAATTCAGCACAGTGACCTTTACTGCAAATATAAAAAAAAAAATAACAGGCGTAAAGTGATCATTTAAACAATCATTTAAAACAAAAAAATAAGAATTGATCAAAAAGAAGGTGTAAAGTTAAAACGCGAGGCGCCAGCAAGTGGTCTGGAAAGCCTAATAAACATTTGACTGTTTACATGATCAGCTGCTTGTGCTAATAGAGAATTAGAAGGTTTATTGCTATCACAGCTCATTTATCGCAGGCAGACGCGCAAATAATTAGCATTCAGTACGGCCGCTGCATTTTCTGAACGCAACACTTCCACCAGGCTGCAGACATTCTCTCAGCACAACTTTCCGGGCATCAGTCATGGGCGCCTGTGCCAGCTTACTGAGCCATGAAGGCATAATTATTCCTCTCTGTCTTCGCACTTCGGCTCGATGCGCTCTCTGGAAACGGCATTTCTTTTGAAAGTCAAAATGACGCCGAACCATTCAGAAGCTCTGAAATGTCGCCGCGGATTAAAGGTGAACGGGAAATTATCCCATTGTTAGTGTTTACGCTGATTATAGAGGGCCTGCCGCCGCTGAGACACCTATTTATCAATCAAGCAACATAGGTAACTAAACATCGCTTGTATTTGTAATATAGTAATTAAAGTGGACCTCTCTGTAAAGTTACAAGTCTGCATTATTAAATGTAAAGCAACCGTAGAATTTGTAGAATAAGCTGCATCTTATATCATCAAAAGTCATCCTTTTGCTTCAGTGAAGTGACTAGGCAAAGACCATGTCATCAGTTTGCTCCAGGCAGGAGAAACCATGTACAGTGTCTCCTTTACCAAGTGAATACTGTACAATAGAGACGCACCAATACCATTTTTCAGACCGAGTACCAATACTTTTCCTCAAGTACTCGTCAATACCAATTACCGATACCTTTTTTTAGTGTCATGTGACAATTTTCTAAAACGATACAGACTAATGATTTTAGGAAAGTGGTGAAGAGCCAGGGCCCTGCCCCAGCTGCAAACGCTGCGCCCCTGGTAGTTCTGCCACTGACTCTAAGCTGTGATACAAATCTCAGGAACACATTATATAGCAATGAAGAATACCACCAGCTGTAGAGGACTACAAATCCCAGAGGTACATTATACAGCAATGCCAAATTACAAGCGGTTATAGAGGACTACAAATTCCAGCAATGCATTATACATCAATGCATAATATGAAGCAACATGCTCTGTGCTGCTCCGGCGTGCTGGCCTAATGTCTCCAGTGGAGGAGCTCTGGAGGTTGTGCTGGGTCACAGGAGGCTGTAAGGGGACTCAGGTGGCTGAGACTACAAGTCCCAGACATGTACTATACAGATATATGCAGAATAATATGAAGTTACACACTCTGTGCTGCTCCGGCGTGCGGCCTGATGTTCAGGCTTGGTGATTGGCCTCTCTGGTCTGAGCGCTGTCACATAGAGAAGGTCAGCCGTACCCCCATACCCTGAAGCTAAGCTCTATAAGCAAAGGCTCCAGCAGTATGGGGAGGAAGCAAAGGGGCATGGCTGTATACATATACTGTACATGCCTCAGGGTGCCTGCTATCTGTAGACATTGTTATGTTACCCAGAATGAGCAAATTGAGAGTGTCTCTTTAAGTATAGGTCCACTTGAAGATATGCAATTTAAATAAAACACTAAAAGAAAACCCGATCCATCGCTAAAAACACACAAGAATCACTCTAACAACACAAAGCGTGGGAAAGAAATTAACATCAACCGAGTAAATCAACCGAGTGTGCAAACCATGGAAACTGCTCTAGGCAGCGGGCAAAAGCACCCCTCGGACCAGCGTGTTATCAGAGCCCGAGCAGTTAATTTGCAATGCAAACCTTGCTATTATCAAAAGAAAAAAGTTATTTGCTTGAAGGTAGATAGCGGCTAAGGATTCCAAACTCCTTAGATTTACATTCTAAAACGGCAAAAAAACTAACAAACCTCCAGCAGGTGTTAAAAACTGAAGACAAAACATATTCGGAATTCAAGACGTAGCCCTTGCATATGGAAATAGCAGTGAATCAGCACTAGGTTGGCGAGCTGCATTGTGCAGAGTTTGCTCTTCCTGCATAGAACTGCTCGGACTAATGTGCAAAGAATTAATGTGGTCTTAAAGGGAATCTACTGAATGGATGTATGGCAATGGCTACCGCTGACTTGTTTTTGGAGGCGCAGGTCTCTGGGGGTCCCATTCTATGTACATAAAGGAAAAAATGCATCAGCTGAGGTCCCCTCCAGGCCGGATTTATACCTTTGTATTGCAGTAACCCCTGGTAATAGATTGTAAGCCCTTGTAAATTGGGCTTTTAGATTGTAAGCCCTCAGGGGCAGGGCCCTCCTTACCATCTGGTCTTGGACTGTATTGTGATTGTAATGCCTTCCTTATATTGTAAAGCGCTGCACAAACTGTTGGCGCTATATAAATACTATGTAATAATAATAGATGTGTGTTACCGCAGGTTCCACTTTGCATTGAACTGCCATCATTTACATGGCACCCTGATGCCATCACACACCCTTTGACAGGGCTGGACAAACCCCAGGAGCCAGGTAGCCAATGCTCCCTACAGATGGCATCCAACCATTGAGGTTTTCTTTAGTTGTTGTCAATACAGCTGGCTCCTACAGAAAACGCCTGCTGGTTCCCAGATTGGACAAACTGGCTCCTGAATTCCATATTAATTTGTCCACCCTTGACCTATGTTTCCCTGAGGTGCTCTGGGGGAAAAAAGTAGTAACATTAATAGGTCAGTTTTGGTGCATTGACCATCCATTATAAAATGACAAGCGGCTTTATGGCAACGCACGTTAACGTGTTTGTGTTAATGTAACACACATATTTCAATCTGGCATTCAAGAAACCAGCATCTGTAGAGCCCAGAAATACAGGAAGTTGAATGTATATGAAAATCTTGGCTTAAAAGTTGGACTTTGGCCCCACCCCTGCTCAACTTAGCTAATGAGCCTGCCCATGCCGAACCAAAAGCAATTCTCTGGAGGCCGGGCCATGCTCAACTTTAACAGAAAACGTTGGAATTTACATATACTTACAGTTGTTGGATGTAATGACCACACTGACACTGGGTTTTCACTGTAACAACTGTTCCTGTGTTTTCCGATCACATTTTAAATCAGAAGTGCCCAAGTTTAGGACAGGCTTCAAGTGTATGCAAATTCTGACAACCAGCTTCTTCTACTTGCTTCCTTTTGGGCTGTTAAATATATTATTTAAAGCCTTGGTTCTCAACTGGTGGGTCGTGACCCAAAAGTGGGTCGCGACCCTGTGTTCAGTGGGTCGCCGCATGCCTTCCACTTTTCTAGATGAGGGCTCCTCGGCCTCCCGCTAGCGCAGCACTGTCAGTTCTCGCAACTAGAAGCCATTCAAAATATGCTGCCCGGTGCCGAGTGTCAGCTTGAGGTGGGTGGGCTAGGGAGCTCCATCCATGCGTGCATTGCTTACAGCTCCCTCACATGTCCTATAGAGGTGCCTGGACCGAAGTGACATCACATTCTGGCTCCCGGCACCTCTACAGGGCACGCAAGGGAGCTGTACAAGCATTGCTCATATGGTTGCAGCCCACACTGGACCCCAGGCTGATGATCCACTCCAGTTCTCGTAAGGTAGGGAGACTGGGTGGACCTTAAAAATGTAAAATTGTTTGGAGTGTGTATATGTGTGTGTGAGAATGTCTGTGAGTGAAATTTTGTCTGTGGTTGTGTGTGTGTGTGTGTGTGTGTGTGTGTGTGTGTGTGTGTGTCTGTCAGTGTTTTTGAGGGCCGTTCACACTAGTACAGTGCGTTTATCGCATAGTACCATGCAAACGCACCTACCGTGCATTCTGGCGTGGGAGGTGTGTTACGTTGCCATTCATTTGACTGGTACCACAAACGCACCTCCCACCCACAGTTCGTACCTCTGCACTGGAAAGCGTGGTACCCTAATCCAGTGCCTTCCATTGCAGTGTGACTTGGGTCGTGACATAGTGACCAAGGACAAATGTGAGTCCTGAGATTACACAGGTTGAGAACCACTTATTTAAAGCATTTTGTAATATCTGTCCTATTGGGGAGATGCTCCCTCACTACCTAGCAGAACAGTAAGTGATGGAAAATCTTATTAACAAGTACACAGACCAGAAACATAAAGACATCAGAGGGGAAAGGAGTTAGCACAGCGTTGCTATTGCTGTTCGTGCCTTCATGTTGCAGTGATGACAGCTCCAAGACACCCATTTCTTGTACTAGTGTCAGTAGGACAGGAAGTAAGAGAATGTCTCACCAACGGGCCCACACACAGAAATAAAAACCTGGCAGGAAGTTTAACTCTTCACAACGCTACCCAAAACTAAATAGAAAAAACTAACTGGTAAAAGTTAGGCCTTCATCAAAGCCACCAACCCGAACCAGCTTGACCCCACAGGTCTGAATCTGGCTAGCATTACAAGAAGCAGAGACGTTACATGACACAGACTCAAGAAGCAGATCCACCTACAACACTTGTGAAGATCTCCATAGGATCTAGCGACAGTAGACTATATAGGACTCTGAAACTAAGTACACGTGACTTTGGCACATCTGCAGAGCTTCCTGAATTGCAGTGTCTCTTTAGAAGATGCTGCTTTTCCTGCAAAACTTAAACTGTACTAGAAAAAGTTCTACCAGTTTTAAAAATCTGCTCGTTACACACGTCAAACCTCCAAAATAGTTTTAGCAGCAGCTACTTAATATGCCAAAATGAAAAACACGGATAAATAAAATGTCATTCTAATAACTGGCAACCAAGTTATGTCAAATGCCAACAAGCTTTTGGAGTGTCAGATAAAAATAAATGTTAATCATGGTAATTGCCGCCTAATTATGATTCCCATCACCGTGCCTGTCATTAGACCCGTCCCAATTTTGCTGATTAACAAATTAATGTGCTTTATGGATGTAATCATTTCTGAAAATTGCTGCCCTTAAAGCCTGCTCTCAGAATCTCCTGAAAA